GTCATAAATATTTCCCTTTTGAGCTGATTTACTACAATATATATATATATATATATTTTTACAGATGTATTTGTAGCATTACTCTACTTTCCTATATGTGCTGTTTTTGAATTCCATCCAATCGATTTTAACTCTGATCTTTGGATTGCATGTTGACTTCAACAACTTAACATTTTGGCAATGCCTAAAATGCTGATTAATGTCCTACCGTGCTACAGGGGCAGCAGTCTCTTCCTCAGAGCTGTCAGGCCATTCTGGAGGAGGAATTAGTGTGTCTTGTAGTAACAAGGGCTGGTCATCCGGCTCTAGTCCAGCTGAGCTTAGAGAGGAAGGCTCATCCTCGGCTCCCAAAACCTCCCCTAGGTCTTGAAATAACAAAATTATATAATTAAACATTGATTGTATTATTTTTCTTTCCCTTACTCTGATATTTGTTTGCAAAATGGTGACAGCAAAAACGTTAGATCAAATATATATATAGATCAATTCATTTGTAGGAATATGCTACCTTGTTTTTCTGTATTACAATACAGAGTATTTCATTATTATTATTAGAGGTGGAAAGTATTATCAAATTAAACTTCATGTTTTTATTTTTTCTGCATTTTATTCCTTATGTTATGGAACATATATAACATATAACTTACTTATATAACTTAAGATATACATAAATTGATTTAGGTTTGTTTGTGCCGTGTAAGCATGCATAAATTCAAACAAGAAAGGTACCTGTATATACTTCAAGAATAGCACTGCATGTTACTGTTCCAAACTGATTTGATGCTGTGCATTTAAATATTCCAGAATCTTCTGGATACGCCTCTGTGATCACGAGGGTGCACAATTCCTCTATAATAAAACAAAGAAGGGTTAAAAGCCTAATATTTGACAAATATGTTTGCTTATCTGTCAAAACAAGAATAATTCCAATCCCTTCATGCACCTTCCTTTGAGATAAATGTGTACTCACCAGGAACAGAAGCTGAACTTGCCTCTGACAAGGACACAAATACAGTAAGAAGCAGTTTTAGTTTATTGGTTTGTAATGAAACTAGCAAGATGGTCTTGTTAATTGTATTGTTTTTAAAGGAAAAGTTCACACTAAAATAAAAAGTATTGAAAATCCACAACTATGTGCTGTTTTAAAATTTTTTTTTTGCACATTCTGTTTTCTGGTTAAAAATAGCGCATAGATGTCAATGATGCCAAACATCATTTTTTTTTGCTATTTTGAATTCTGAATGCAAAAGAAACAACTTCAGTTTTGATCAAAGCTATCGTATGGGTTCAGAAGACATGGTATATAACGCACGTGTCATATAGACTACAGAGAACATGTAAAATAATGCTGTAATCAGTCTGAGTTGTGTCCAGCTCTCACTCACTCTTTCTAAGAATCCGGAAGTCTGCCGAGTCGATGATCTGCTCGTTCTCTCTGAACCAGGAGATCTGCAGCGGAGGAGCTCCTCTGATCCTGCACTCCAGGACCACCAGCTGCCCCTTCACTGTACTCACGTCATGAAGACACTGAAGACACACCAATAACAGCTCACAGCATGTCAAATCACAACCTGATACTGATCCAGTCAATAAAGGTATACAGTATGCTATTATTGCATTACCTTGACAAAAGTTGGAGACACTCCGGGATTCCCTGAACCCTGGTTTGTGTTCTGAACCTGAAAAAAAACACAGATCAACAATGTGTGTTTAGGCTGGAAGTAGCATACACATAACAGCCCACAACTCACTGTGCTTCACACTGTAACCGATTTTTGTAATTTGAACAGTATTTTACTGTAATATGTACAGTAAGATACTGTAAAATGTGTATACAGTATTTGACCGTAAACAGCAAAGGATTATGGGAAAATATACGGTCACTACTATATTTCCTCACTACTGTAAATCAATTTACAGTAGTGAACTTGCCCGCGAAAAACTGACCAAGCAAGGGAGTTCTTTTTTGACTGTTTGGTGGAAGTGGCCGTAAAAGGACAAAAGAGTAAAAATGGTGGATGTGTGTGAGATTGCTCTCTTTAAATACCACGCATCACATCAAGTTCAATGCTTGAATGTGGTTAAAAACATAATCTACTGTTTCATACTTGCACAGTCAGATGAAGACACAGTTGAGCTGGTTAAGTACACTTTCAGAAAAATAAAAAAAAAAAGGTACAAAAGGTGTCTCTGGGGCGGTACCCTTTCAAAATGTACACAATTGTATACTTTATTTACCCCTAAAGCGTGCATTTTAGTACCTTAAAGGTACGTATTTTACCTAAGTGTTCATATTGGCACCTAAATGGTACATTTTAGAACATTTTGGAAAGGTACCGCCACAGTGACAGCTTTTGTACCTTTTTTTCTGAGAGTGAGTGACCAGGACAAGAAAGGGCTTTGAATGATTAATAATCAGTATCTAACCTGATCAAAAAGATTTATTTCATTTTATCATCTGTTACATCATTGTAAACTTTTATAAAAACATGAATAGCACAATAGCAAAACAGATCCGTTTGGTCATTAACTATTAAATGCATAATTTCATTATGCATCTGCATGAGTTCTCCACATCAGAAACCCATGACTGGCAGATCAACATACTACTTCTTTTAGCTCCATTATAACAGTATGACAGCTGCTCAATAGTTGAGCAACATAAATCAAATGAACTGAAATGTGGAGTGTGTATATGCATGTAGCTTTGTGAAAAAAAAAAAAAAGGTTTGTGATTTGAAGGCACAATTTTATGTTGCAAAACTTGACTACTTTTCAGGTCTTAATGAAAGACTTATTCATGTTATGTATTTTTGATCGTACCATTTGAGGACTAATGCAGACAGGCTGTACTAAACTTGAGTGCCTCTGCTGTATTGTAGCAGAAGATGATGATGATGATGAAGATGAGGAGGAGGAGGATGTGTCACGGGAGCATGATGATATAGTTAGGGACATAGTTGAGGTTTTTTTCTGAATCCTGAAAGAGTTAGAACACAGCTTCATAAAGTTTATAACAAAAAAATGGTTCTAATAATGGTTCTAAGATATTCAAAGCTACATAAACATTTAAAGGGGTCATATGATGCAATTTCAATTTTTCCTTTGTCTTTGGAGTGTTACAAGCTCTTGGTGCATAAAGAAGATCTGTAAAGTTGCGCTTTGTAAAAATCGACGCGTTTCAGAAAGGCGGGGCATAGAGGAGAAACAATAATGTACAGTATGTGGAAAATAATGTGTTTTTTGAACCTTAAACCGCATAAACACATTTCATTTCACCAAATACACAAAATAATGTTCTTTTTAGCAACATCATATGACCCCTTTAAAATGCACATATAACTAAGTGTTGACTTTAAATTAAAGATGGAATTAGTTGTTAGTAGGTTTATATTAAATGGTATTGCACAGTGAGGAACTACTTTGCCATAGTATTTAACTGTGCTGGTCACTTTTTTTTTCTTTTTTTTTTTGATGATGATGATGATATACTGAAGTTTTCAAGCTTAAATAATAAAAAGTACCATAAAAGTATATGAAAGTGGATGATACAATACAATATATTTCAAGTCTTCTGAAGCCATACAGTTGCTTTATGCAAGAGACAGGCTGAAATTTACATCTTGAAGTACTTGAACTACTTATACCTTGCTATGAAAGCTTTAACACTTGTTCGTTGTAACTGCATGAAAAAAGTAACCTGCACAGTTTTCATCATTTTTAGTTTTGTAGTCCACAGAGTAAATAAAGTCATACAGGTTTTAAATGTCTTTAGAGTGAGTAAATATTGACAGAGTTGTTATTTTTGGGTGAAATATTTCTTTAAAAGCACAGTATGTTTTCCCCCCTCTCTTACTGTGCCATGTTTCCAGTATCTCCAAAGAGTGTGGATGAGCCCAGCAGGAGGCACTATAAAATTCAAGAAATCAGAAATAATGAGACAACAGAAGGGCATGAGTGATTCATTATGTTCATTTGTTTAAATACATTTGTTGATTGCAAGATTTTGTCTTAATGCACTAATAACAATTTGCACTAGCAGTGAATTTGTGGTATCTGTTCTTGAAGCCTCACACATCAGCTTTAATACACAACCATTACATAAAAAACTGAGGTATACAGTAGACCGTTTATATAAAGCACAGAAAAAAAAAATACCACCACAAAAAGCACCACTGAAAAATCTTTGTCATTTCTGCATTCTTAAACTCTTCTGCTTTATTTATACTTGAGCAAGATTTGTAAACAGATTGTTGACTGGTAGCAATGCTATGAGTCTAACCCCTCTCCTGTCCTTTCACTGGTGCTCAATAGAGTGAAGCAACGAAACCCGAGCAGCTCCCTGGGCTAATTTGGTTGTGCCTTCAGTGTGTTGCATTTAGAAACACATGGTGTGGGATAAATCTTTCACCCCTTTGAAAGTGCCATCTCTATGGAAGCCCGTTTCCACCACTGAATAAAAAAATTAAAAAAGGTAATTTCGACTTTTTATCTCACAATTCTGACTTTTTTTCACATAATTGTGAGATATAAACTCACAATTGCGAGTTATAAAGTCAGAATTGAGAGATACAAACTCGCAATTGTGAGTTAAAGTCCAATTTTGAGGGGGGAAAAAGACTGATGTTCTCAGAATTGCGAGTTTATATCTCTCAATTCTGACTTTATAACTCGCAATTGTGAGTTTATATAAGCAACTAATTTGCCACCTCTCAAGCTATGAAAAACTATTTCTTTGCATGGGTCCCACCAGTGCACCTGTTTCACAAGCTGGAGCCTTACCGGTGTATCCTCTTAGTGTGGAGGGGCCACTGCAAATTCCCCTGGGCTGATAACACCAAGGTTAAAGGACGTTAGGAAGACAGAATCCCACCTTGTTGCACTCTTCCCCTCTCGAAGAGAGTGCACAGCAAGTCTTGTTTGCCCCCCTCTTTGACTGGAAGTCTTCTACCCAGTGAAAGAAATGGAGAAGTGGGGACAGGCACTCAGACTGGGCTATTGGTAAAGAGATTCACCAGCTTGACTGCATGTTGTCTGGGTAGGTATAAGGTGCATCTCACATTACAGTCTGTCCATCGCACACAGCTGACTCCACAGTAAACGGGAGAACCAAACACTCGGGTGTCAAATATAGACCACACTCATGCACTCGGCCTCAGGGATGGAAATAGCATATGCAAGAAACTCTTCTATTAATCATTGTCCATGGAGATGGCAGAAACGGGCTTCCATAAAAATCAGCAATGTAATGGTGCTGTAAAGATTGAATCCGAACTCTTTGCAGAACCTAAAGTGAAACATCAAGAACTCCAAAGAATCATAATGTAGCAACTCCAAAACCCATACAGACAGATAACAACAAGATAAACCACTTAAACTGCATATGATAAACATATGGAACTCTACACCAAAGACTGCATTCAAATGCACTTTGTTTTTTTAGTACTATAACAAATTTGATTGCTATACACAGTATTCTGAATATTGTATTTTCTCAACAACAACAACAACAAAAAATCTAGGATATAGCTTTTTTTGAAGAGTGGAATGGAAGTGTAGCACCTTTGAACAGATGTTTCTCTATCAGCATTGAAGCCAGATTTATTTTTGGCACAGCCATGTAATGTCTGTCCATTAAACATGAGCAGGAATACAAGGTCCTCTTGCAGCAAGTCAAGAGAAGTGGGGACAGGCACTCAGACTGGGCTATTGCTAAAGAGATTCACCAGCTTGACTGCAGGTTGTCTGGGTAGGTATAAGGTGCATCTCACATTACAGTCTGTCCATCGCACACAGCTGACTCCACAGTAAACGGGAGAACCAAACACTCGGGTGTCAAATATAGACCACACTCATGCACTCGGCCTCAGGGATGGAAATAGCATATGCAAGAAACTCTTCTATTAATCATTGTCCATGGAGATTGGTAAGGTTAGTTAGTTACCACTATTACTAATTATGAAAGAAAAAATATAATGAGGTATCAGAACTTCAAGCTCCAGTATGATCCCCTTTTTGGCATTGTAACGTGGGGTTTGGGTTTGTTTCTTGTTCATAGTTTTCATGTCTTATTTTGTAGTTTGGCCACAGTCATGTTCTGTCATGTGATTCCCTTGTCTGTGTGTTATGTTCTGATTGGTTCATGTGTCTTGTTTCTCATTGGTTGGTTCTTGTCATGTGACCCTCATTGTTTGATATAAATAGCCCTCATGTTGCCTTTGTTCTTGGTCTAGCTTTAATGTTGTAACCTGCTGTCGGTGAGTCTAGTCTGTTTTTGTCAAGTCTGTCCATGCCAAGTCAAGCCTGTTCAAGTCAAGTCTTTTTGGATTATGTTTTGTCGTTATGTTAAATAAACTGCACATGGGTTCTTCAACTTGCCGTTCAGTAGTGATGCAAAGTCCGATTCATTTCCGCGAACCGGTTCTTTTCGGACAGATCGGCTCATTTAACCGGCTCAAAAAGCCGATTCATCGGTTCCTGATGTCATCAAGCAATAACGTCTCTACGCATTTCTTTTCTAACAACTCAATGCAATGTTATATCAATGAAAAATTATTGTTTGATATAAATAGCCCTAATGTTGCCTTTGTTCTTGGTCTAGCTTTGATGTTGTAACCTGCTGTCGGTGAGTCTGTTTGTGCCAAGTCAAGTCTGTATGATTCAAGTCTGATCATGCCTAGTCAAGTCTGTTCCAGTCAAGTCTTTTGGATTATGTTTTGTCTTTGTGAAAATAAACTGCACTTGGGTTCTCACTTCAACTCGCCTTCAGTGGACTGATTGTTACTAGTGATGCAAAGTCCGATTCATTTCCGCGAACCGGTTCTTTTCAGACAGATCGGCTCATTGAACCGGCTCAAAAAGCCGATTCATCGGTTCCTGACGCCATCAAGCAATAACGTCTCTACGCATTTCTTTTCTAACAACTCCATGTTGTATCAATGAAAATTTCAAATAAGTCATTTGTGTCAACACATATTGAAACATTCAAAAATAAGGTTATTTGTGTGAAAGCATATTGCTGATTATTGCCATATTGAAGCAACAGTTTTTCAACAACTTTTAAAATAATGTAAAGTTTCACACATTACAGACATTGATGCACAAACGCGGATATGTTTTACGTGTACAGTATAAAGAATGAATAAACCAGTCTTATAAACTCCTTGATTTTGCTTAAGCAACTTTAAATATAATATGCATGCACAATAAACTAATGTAAAATTTATTTACATCACTCGACAGAAAGGTTTTTGCAGGTTTTTTTCAAATGTAAATTAATAACAGTCATAATAAACGAGCATATTTCCAGTACGCGCCTCAGGTTTGCACAGTATCGTCAACTCATCAGAATCTTCGGTAATCCTCGGCAAACTTCGACAGTTGGTTGAACCGGCTTATTCTATTCTTTTTGAGTTGGACGTGCTACTTCGGCTGTGTGTCCTGCGTCATCAACCCGGAACTAAAGTTCGATTCAGTTCGATTTGTGAACCGGCTCAACCGGTTACTTCCTGAGAACCGGCTCAAAATAACGATTCGTTCAAGAACCGAACATCACTAATTGTTACAGGCATGTAACCTTAAATTAGGGTGACCATACGTGCCATTTTCCCAGGCCAGGATTTCTATATTGCCTAAAATATCTAGGTTTTGGCTTTGTTTGCGTGTGCAGACCTATCGGTGTATGATATCATAAAATACCATACATACGGTTCCTTATGCTTTCAAAATGCTCTCGAGGTATTTTGATGTCATACACCGATCGGTCTGCACACGCAAACAAAGCCAAAACCTAGATATTTTAGGCAATATAGAAATCCTGGCCAGGACGCGTCCTGGGAAAATGGCACGTATGGTCACCCTACTTAAATCCCTTTATCAGTACATAATTTCTCAACGTATATGACTGATAAATAATTAAAAAGTACTCATCAGGCATTGTGCACCACCTTAATACTACACAAGACTTTGTTTTTATTTTCCCTTCTTTATGTTTATTTGTGGAAGCATGGCTTCCTCTCATGTTTCTATTTGTAGACTAAGAGCAAGTAAAGACTGCCTTCTTCAAGTCATCTGAGCCTCTTTGTTTGCAGACTGTCATCCCCAGTAGACCAGAGACCGAAAGTAGCTTCCCTGACTGGGAAACCTCAGGCACTAATCACTACACCTCACACCAACATTTACAGCATGACTGAACCATGGAAGTGGACTCCGCAGAAGAATCGACTCCTCCCTCTGATATGGAATGCATCCTAACTATGCTCTCTGGCCAAGCCAATGCCATTCACAAGCATGAACAGATTCTTACTGAGATTCTCCAGCTATAAGTGACCAGTCCACATCTCAAGCCTCTCCAGTCATTCCAACCCAGTCTCAAGGCACCCCATCAACTTAATCCACCAGCATGATCCCTTCTCGTAGGAAAGCGTAAGATTGAGCTACGGCTCTCTGGAAGCAACAGTCCCCTCTTATGATCAGTATAGCAAAGATGAGAAAGGTCTTCCACCACCCTGTTAGTGGAGCAGAGGTTTATGAAGTCAAGTCACCTTTACAGTGTTAAACAGGAAAATAATGTGCTGATAATGCAAGAAGATAATAGTAAACACTCAATTTTTCAGTTGAATTCAGTTCATCATTGATTCAGTGATGCATCGTCCAGCTTAGTTCAGTTCAAATAGTATCTGTGCAATCAATGTTGCCAGAAATTAAGTGTCCCCAACTAAGCAAGCCAAAGGCGACATCGGCAAGGAACCAAAACTCCATTGGTGACAGAAATGGAGAAAAACCTTGGGAGAAACCAGGCTCAGTCTGGGTCCAGTTCTCCTCTGACCAGACAAAACCAGCATGGTGTGGTTTAATTCCAGGCTGCACCACAAGTCAGATTGTGCAGAGGACTCGTCTGGTTCTCGTGGCCTTTGCTGAGGAATTGTGCCGACGGCGAACTAGGTCTTCACAGGGGATCTGTCTCTAGGGCTAGTTGACATGCTCTCCGCTGACATTCAGGGCTGTAGATGTTGTGCTGGTCCACCATCTGATCTGGATACAGACTGGATCTGGTGGCTCTGGTGACGTCGGAATAAGAGAGAAACAGACTAATATTAGCGTAGATGCCATTCTTCTAGCGATGTAGCAAGTACATCGGGTGTTATGGGAAGTGTTCCCGGTTCCGGTTGACCTAATTAATGCAGCCTAACAATCATTTAACAGATTTGAATATTAGAAATGTGATAGTGTGTTATGTGTAAACCAGGTTAAAGAGATGGGTCTTTAATCTAGATTAGGTAGATTAAGGTTAGGTAGATTGTTCCAGAGTTTGGGCACTAAATAGGAAAAGGATCTGCCTCCTGCAGTTGATTTTGATATTCTAGCTATCATCAAATGCCCAGAGTTTTGAGATCACAGCGGACGTGAAGGACTATAATGGGTAACACTTTATAATACCTTTCATTAATAAATCATTAACACAAATTACACAATGCTTAACAAATCATTAGTTAATATATATTCTCATAGCTAGAAATATAAGATAATGTGCTTGTCAATGTTTACTAATGAATTTATTAAACATTAAATAATGATCTGTTAATCAATCAAGATGTAATGTAAATTAAAATGCATACAACTGACAGTTTGTAAGTGGTATGGGTAGGTTTAAGGGTTGGTTAAAGTGGTCAACAGTGTACAGGAGTCAATTTGATTACTATAAGGGGACACGGTTCAATCTGTTTATATCGCATTGATTTAATAAATGAACAAGTATTTTCTTAAAATGTATTTGTTCTCTTCTGTTGATGTTTGAGTCAAGGAATATCCTCTATTTAAGGATATAGTATCTGAGTGTTGAGGCAACAAAAACTTGTTTTGCACCCAATTTAAAATTATTTGTTATTATGTCTGTCGCAAACATATGTGACCCTGGAGCACAAAACCAGTCTTAAGTGTCAATTTTGTGAAATTGAGATTTACGCATCATTTGAGAGCTGAATAAATGAGCTTTTCATTGATGTATGGTTTGTTAGGATAGGACAATATTTGGCTGAGATATAACTATTTGAAAATCTGGAATCTGAGGGTGCAAAAAAATCTAAATATTGAGAAAATCATCTTTAAAGTTGTCCAAATGAAGTTCTTAGCAATGCATATTACTAATAAAAAATTAAGTTTTGATATATTTACGGTAGGAAATTTACAAAATATCTTCATGGAACATGATCTTTACTTAATATCCTAATGATTTTTGGCATAAAAGAAAAATGGATAATAAACTTAACTAACCACCCTTTACACAGTCATTGTTACACTAGTTAAAAAGTACTAAATGATTAATAGTAAAAGTTTATAAACATTTAAAATGATGAACAGTTTCCACTTTAGACTGGGTACTGCAAAAACATGAACAACTAATTAATAAATGATTAGTAAAGATCAGTGTTGGGGAAAGTTACTTTTAAAAGTAATGCATTACAATACTGCGTTACTCCATACAAAAAGTAACTAATTACGTTACTTAGTTACTTTTTATGGAAAGTAATGCGTTACGTTACTTTTGCGTACTTTACTAGTTACTTGAAAAAAGTAATCTGATTACGTAACTCGCGTTACTTGTAATGCGTTACCCCCAACACTGTGTAAATAGGATGAATTCAGGTCATTTGGGACACTTTTTTCCATTGAGATGACATGGAAAATGTGTCTTAATATGTACTAAAAGATTAGTAAACGTTTAGAAACATTTACAAATAATTAATAGTTTTAAACTTTAGATTGAGGACTGCAAAAACATGAACAAATAATTAAGAAATGTTATATATATATATATATATATATATATATATGTTTTTTTTGTTTTTTTCTGGTACGTTTTAGTCCAGATTAAAATGTGATATGTAGGCCTCCAGACTACTCCGAAGTAAACAGATGCATATCAACAGCGGAAAAAGGCTTGGTTCGTAAATTCACATCAATGAATGTAAAATGTGACTGATAGCCCAATAATATAATATGACAATAGTATTTATGATTTTTCAACATAAATATTATATATCATAATTATACATAAATTGTAAAAATTCGAAACTACTACTACAAATATGAATAGCTATAATAATAACAACCAGAGAGAGAGAGAGAGAGAGAGAGAGAGAGAGAGAACGCAAAAAAATTCACTCACTCACTCACTCACTCACTCACTCACACTCTCTCACACACTCGCTCACTCGCTCACACACTCGCTCACTCGCTCACACACTCGCTCACTCGCTCACACACTCACTCGCTCACACTCACTCGCTCACACTCTCTCACACACTCACACTCTCTCACACACTCACTCACTCGCTCACACTCACTCGCTCACACTCACTCTCTCTCACACACTCACTCACTCACTCACTCACTCGCTCACACTCACTCGCTCACACTCACTCGCTCACACTCACTCGCTCACACTCACTCGCTCACACTCACTCGCTCACACTCACTCGCTCACACTCACTCGCTCACACTCACTCGCTCACACTCACTCGCTCACACTCACTCGCTCACACTCACTCGCTCACACTCACTCGCTCACACTCACTCGCTCACACTCACTCGCTCACACTCACTCGCTCACACTCACTCGCTCACACTCACTCGCTCACACTCACTCGCTCACACTCACTCGCTCACACTCACTCGCTCACACTCACTCGCTCACACTCACTCGCTCACACTCACTCGCTCACACTCACTCGCTCACACTCACTCGCTCACACTCACTCGCTCACACTCACTCGCTCACACTCACTCGCTCACACTCACTCGCTCACACTCACTCGCTCACACTCACTCGCTCACACTCACTCGCTCACACTCACTCGCTCACACTCACTCGCTCACACTCACTCGCTCACACTCACTCGCTCACACTCACTCGCTCACACTCACTCGCTCACACTCACTCGCTCACACTCACTCGCTCACACTCACTCGCTCACACTCACTCGCTCACACTCACTCGCTCACACTCACTCGCTCACACTCACTCGCTCACACTCACTCGCTCACACTCACTCGCTCACACTCACTCGCTCACACTCACTCGCTCACACTCACTCGCTCACACTCACTCGCTCACACTCACTCGCTCACACTCACTCGCTCACACTCACTCGCTCACACTCACTCGCTCACACTCACTCGCTCACACTCACTCGCTCACACTCACTCGCTCACACTCACTCGCTCACACTCACTCGCTCACACTCACTCGCTCACACTCACTCGCTCACACTCACTCGCTCACACTCACTCGCTCACACTCACTCGCTCACACTCACTCGCTCACACTCACTCGCTCACACTCACTCGCTCACACTCACTCGCTCACACTCACTCGCTCACACTCACTCGCTCACACTCACTCGCTCACACTCACTCGCTCACACTCACTCGCTCACACTCACTCGCTCACACTCACTCGCTCACACTCACTCGCTCACACTCACTCGCTCACACTCACTCGCTCACACTCACTCGCTCACACTCACTCGCTCACACTCACTCGCTCACACTCACTCGCTCACACTCACTCGCTCACACTCACTCGCTCACACTCACTCGCTCACACTCACTCGCTCACACTCACTCGCTCACACTCACTCGCTCACACTCACTCGCTCACACTCACTCGCTCACACTCACTCGCTCACACTCACTCACTCACTCACTCACTCACTCACTCACACACACTCTCACACTCACTCATTCACTCACACACACTCTCTCACTCACTCACTCACACTCTCACACTCTCACACTCACTCACACTCACTCACTCACACACTCACACACACTCACTCACACACACACACACAAAGCTTATTTTTCCCACCCTTTATGCAATTCTGTATCGTTCCAGTATGTGTGCAGTGATGTTGCCATTATATTAGACCGGTACTGCAATCCACGTGATTCTCTTTGCATCAACATGCCATTAAACCACATGGTCAGACTTAACTCTATAGAGTTCTGGCTCTTTGCACAATCTGATGTGACTCATTGCACACTAACCCCTTATTATTTATTATTTTCAATCGATGTTATATTCTAGTGCCAGTTTTCTAAATGAGCCACTTGTCTATTTTTTTTCTCAGGCTTGTTGGAGTGGATTGACTCGGCAGACCCTCCAGACTGCAGCCAGACGTCATTATGCGTGAGTATTAGCGGGTTTAAGAGCATCCCGTGATCGCTGAAGGTCCGTGAGCGAGTGTCTGAGCTGCTGATGGTGTTTCAGGTCGGAGGCGATCAGAGGCGCTGTCGTCGGCATTGATCTGGGAACCACCAACTCCTGCGTGGCTGTGATGGAGGGGAAACAAGCAAAGGTGAGCTGCAGCTTGCTCACATTCAGTGGTTAAAGATTAGACCTGGTGACCAAAAAGGTGGTAGAATGAGCTGTCACCAATGTGTCCTTGATCAGATGTTTAATGTTAACCTTAACATAAAATATTCAGAATTGTGTAAAACAAATCTGTTCTCATGGATCCTGTCAGTAAAGCGGCTAAAAGGCCAGACTAAAGCTTTCTGCAGACTTCCGTTGGCTCTGACACATCTGGATTCACCATAATTGAGTATATACGCCGTATTTACTGAAGCTGTACATATCGACACACTATGTCTTCAATATCATACTCTTGAGACATGGGACACACAACTGGACCCGCCTGCAGTTTTGAAAATTGCAACATTTCACATTTATGCATGAGAACAAACCATGAACAAACCTGAATGAACCTTCAGCCACTAGGAAGAATCAGTCAGGTCACCTCTATTTCTAAAGTGTCTTAAAGCAGCTTCACGCTGATAAACAGTAAAATAGCAGAATATTTTATGGAAACACATAGGGCTGCATGATAAAATGTATTTTAATTCACTGGTTATTTATACTGAAAATTTCCATTTGCTTTTATGGTTGCAGTTGCCAGATTTCATTAGTTTAAAATCCCCCAATCAGAGCTTTGCTCTTAAATCAATAGATTTTCTGCCCAGTGGTTTACTTGATCTTCCCAACCTGGCAACCATACACACACTCACTCACGCGCACACACTCGCACTCTCACGCACGCACACATACACTCACACTCTCTCTCACACACACTTTCACACGCACGCACACACACACACACACACACTTTCTCACACGCACACCATTCATCAATCTTTTGATTTGTGATTTTTTGAAAATGCTTAAATTCTGAAGAAATGTAAAAGAAAATTTAAAATGACACTAATCTTGATTTAAGAGCTTAACCATTGTCATGCAGCCTTAGAAACCCAATTATTGGATGTATTCAGATTCTGCTGTAAAGCATCTCTAAAAAGACAATTGTGTCATTATTCGGCTATTATATCAGTTTTGAACTGATTTCAGTTCAGTTGTAAGTAGGGCTGGGACAATAATTCGATGCATCGCGAATCGAGAAATGATTCTGCATCGATTCTGAGATTTTCCGAAGGCATCGCGATTCTCTCTTAAATTGATTCTGAGCTTAGTTTTTAACAGCAGATGGCACTGCGTGCTTTAGAAATAGCCGTATTCTGCTTGCTTCCAGTTCCTTACACACGCACCATTTAACCCTAAAATAATCATTCATAAAGTTCGAAAAGGTTGAAGCGAATTACAAGGATGTTCACAGTGGGCTGTGTTTACATTAATCTCGCATCATAAAAGCCGATGTGCCAGTACATTTAAACCCTTACATTACTCAGCCGAACGCACAAGCGCTCTTCTTCGTGAGCATTTGAGTGTGCGGTTAAAAACTAGCCTAGATATATATAAAACGATGTATTTCACGATAGTTATGTTTTGCTTTAAATAAGGTATCTGTGATACAAGAATGTCATAATTCTTGTCATCAGTGTCAGTATCACAAAAAACTAATACTAGCCTTAAAAACAAAACTCAAGTTCACTGAAGACAAGTAAACAGTCAGCGATTTAAATAAGAAACTAATTACAAGCAATAGGACAAAAAACTACATTAGAACAAATAATTTAAGAAATGTTACATACATTGTATAAAGTAATCAAATGAATAAAAACACTGCATATTCTTATTAAATTTACAAAAGAGATTTAATCTCAGAATCGATCCACGAATCGTGATGCATCGATTTATTGTCCCAGCCCTAGTTGTAAGCCATCACTACTACTGTCTGCTTAACTCGCATTTAGTGAGAACGCTGTTGAGTTGAGTTGTGATGTAACAGGTGCTGGAGAACGCCGAGGGAGCGAGGACGACGCCGTCAGTGGTGGCCTTCACAGCTGATGCAGAGAGGCTCGTGGGAATGCCGGCCAAACGCCAGGCTGTCACCAACCCCAACAACACGCTCTATGCTACTAAACGCCTGATCGGACGCCGCTATGATGACGCTGAAGTTCAGAAAGATTTGTAAGACATCTGATTGCAAAATTTCAGCCCCTTTATATATTTAAGTGTTATATAGGTTTTATTTAAGTGATGATCTTTGCTGTGATTGACAGGAAAAATGTGCCCTATAAGATCGTGCGTGCGTCTAACGGAGACGCCTGGCTGGAAGCCCACGGTAAACTGTACTCTCCCAGTCAGGCTGGAGCTTTTATCCTCATGAAGATGAAGGAGACCGCAGGTCAGTCCGTCTGCATGAAGAAAATACATTCAAAACAAATGATTAGGGGTCGACAATATGACCAAAGTCTTATATCACGATACGAGTCATTTTTATTTATATAT